GTAATCTGGCATCGATGCGGGCATCGATGCAGGTATCGATGCAGGCATCGATGCAGGCATCGATGCCCAAATCGATACCGACATCGATACTCATTATTTTCAAATTCTGATTTCACACATAGCTTCGTCTCGTCGAGATAGGCGATTTTCATATATTATATGTTAAATTCCGCCTTCCGGATTAGGAGATATCGTCGTTTCTTTGCGGCCAACCATTTTGAATATGATTTCTTTTCATAGTGGATTTTTGATTTTCTCCGGCTTCTACAGGCTACTCGGCTTGATTCTGGACTTTTGGATAATTTGGAAATTGATTTTCCAATGGGCTTCTTTGATTCATTTCTTCATTTAATCGATGAGTTTTTGTTAAGAGATGAGAGTTTGAGATTTATTCTTCATTAACCTGCAATTAAAAGATAAAAACAATTATTAGTGCTATATTTATTCATATAAATTAGATAATGATGGTATAAAATTATAATAAAATATGATTATCAATATGTCAGTTTTCGGTCGACCGAACCGATCGACCGAACCTGAGTTCATATGCTCACTGGGCGACAGAGAGTCTGTCGGTCGACCGGTCTGGTCGACCGATGAAATTTTCGGTCGACCGATGAAATTTCCGATCGACCGACAGTAGATTTTTCTGCTTCTAACTGCTAGTTTTATTACCGTTGCTGGGGCTGTTTTTGTCTTTTGGCTTAGGGTTTGACTGAGAATTTGAGTGGGTATAAATACCCTATTGCTATTCTCTTTCAAGTAATCTAAGAGAGTTTTAAAAACAAGTTTAAAGAGTTTTGTTTAAGGGTTTAGTGTTTGTTTAAAAAGCTTTTAAGCATTTACAAGAGTTGAGTTTGTGAATTCAAATTTCCACAAGAGCAAGTGGAGATCATCCTTGGTGTTTGAGCATTCATTCTTCTCCCTCTCTCTTGTCATCTATAGAGAAGTTTCCTTAAACTCAATTCTAGCATTTTATAAGTTTGTTCTTAATTTCATAAGCTAGATTTCATATTGAGTTTAGTTTAATTGTTTTATTGATACTCTTTGTTCACACACAACCTATTGAGCTTATTGTATTTACATTCATAGTATAATTTAGGGTTGTGGGTTTATAACATTAAGAGTGAGCTTAACTGAGTTCTCACATTGTTTAGAGAACAATCAATTGATTTATATTGTGCTTAATTGTGAGGATTCACTTGTAATACACTTGTACACCGAGAGTAGTGTGTGGTGAGAGACGGGATCGAATCCAAGAGGAGTGGCGTCGGTTGACGTGCCTAGGGAGAGGTTGTAACCGAGCACTTGAGGAGGAGGACACGGGCTAGGACTAACACTTAGTGTGTAAGTGTGATTGCATAGTGATTATATTGTGAGGTGTAAACGTTGTTCGGGTGAACGTAGAAAACCCGGTTGTGATAGTGGAGATCTCCTCGAGGTGAGGAACGGAGACGTAGGTCGTGGGGATCGAACTCCATAATCATATTGTTTGTTTGTGATTGCATTGGCGCACTTACTTTTATGTTTATATCTTATATCGCCTTTGTATATTGCTTGTTGATTATATTGCCCACTATCTAGTTTAGATTGTTTACACCCTTAGTTTCATATCCTTGCATATAACTCATAATATACCTCATTCCTAGCTCATATACATTGTTGTAGTTCATACTTGCTAGGATAACTTGTTTATTAATTTTAATTGGCATTTAATCAGATTAGATTAGCATAAGACCCTAATCACCCCCCTCTAGGGTCTAACAGGACGGAGGGAGAGGGCTCGAGGGAGAGGAGGCGGAGGGCGGGGAAGGGGAGGTCGAGCTTTGAGTAGAAGTTGATAAGGTTGCCGGTCGAGAGGAAGGGCGGGAGGAGGCGGGGGAAGAGGGACTTGAGACCGACGGCGTGTGCGGAGCGGCCGAGGAGAGAGGAGTGGGTGGAGATAGCCCGATCGATTTATGCTTCTTTAGAATAAAATTTCGGTGTTGGGGGAAAGATGAGCGACGAAATTTGGGGGGGAAAAGGGGGCGGCGAAATTTTGGTGGGTTAATTTTTTTTAAAAATGGATAACATATCCTAGACGGAAATTTCCGTCTAGGATACATTCTAGACGGAAATTTCCGTCTAGGATAGTCGGTTAATTTTTAAAAAAAATTAAAAATAAAAAACCGTCTACTTTACTATTCTAGATGGAAATTTCCGTCTAGAATGTATTATTCTAGACGGAATATTCCAGACGGAAATTTTTCGTCTAATTTAATACAAATTAGATGGAAAAATTTCCGTCTAGAATAGTCCGTCTAGGATACTTGATTTTTTACTAGTGCCAACATGCATGCCCGCAACATGTCCTCCAAAATCTGTATAGTTCTCTCTGATTGCCCATCTGTCTGAGGGTGATAAGCCGTGCTGTAACTCAGTCTAGTCCTAAGACACTGCTGTAAGCTCCTCCAAAAGTGCGATAAAAATCGCGTGTCTCTATCAGAAACAATGCTAACCGGTACCCCATGCAAGCGCACTATCTCCCTCATGTATAGCTCTGCTAGACTCTCTATCGTCTGTCCAACTCGAAATGGTATGAAGCGAGCCGACTTGGTGAGTCGGTCTACTACTACCCATACGACATTATTCCCCTTCTGACTCCTCGGCAGAGCTGTGATAAAGTCCATCGTAACGTGTTCCCATTTCCACTCGGGAATAGGAAGGGGCTGCAATAACCCAGCTGTCCTCTGATGCTCAGCCTTCACCTGCTGACATGTTAGGCATTTTGACACAAATCGGGCTATCTCCATCTTCATTCCTGGCCACCAGTAATGTTCTCTCAAGTCCCGATACATCTTTGTGCCTCCTGGATGAATAGAAAGCACTTAACTGTGCGCCTCCTCTAACAACTCTCTTCTAACATCGCCCTTAGGCACACACAACCTACCACGGATTCGTAAGGATCCATCCTCATGTATCTGTAGATCAGTTCTCTCTCCAGACTCCACTTGTTTCTTAAATTTTTGGTACCGAGCATCCTCGAACTGGGTAGCCTTGATCCGGTCCACCAGAGTTGACTGTAAAAGTAAACTCATCAACTGTCTACCTGCTCTAGGTAATATAACCTCCATGTTCATCCTCCAGAACTCAGCTAGCAACTCCCGCTGTCTGGTGAGTCTCATCGCTACAGGTTTCCTGCTCAAATGATCTGGCACGACATTAAATCGTCCTGGATGATATTGTAAATCAAGATCATAATCCGCCATAAGCTCTAACCACCTGCGTTGTCTCATGTTGAGCTCCTTCTGAGTGAAGATATACTTTAAACTTTTATGATCTGTGTACACCTCCACTCTCTGCCCTAAAAGATAGTGCCGCCAAAGCTTCAATGCAAAAATAACCGCCGCCAATTCCAGATCATGAACCGGGTAGTTTCTCTCATGTGTCTTCAACTGCCTAGATGCATAAGCTACTACCTTCCCATGTTGCATCAGAACACAACCTAAACCCAACCCAGAAGCATCCGTGTGCACTACAAATCCTCCCGACTCATTTGGAATTGTCAAAACTAGTGCTGTTGTCAACTTCCTCTTTAACTCCTCAAATGCTGCTTGGCACTCTGGAACCCACACAAACTTGACCTCCTTCCGAGTCAGCCTAGTAAGTGGTCCTGCAATCTTAGCGAAATCCTTTATGAACTTCCTATAATATCCAGCCATCCCCAAGAAACTTCGTACTTCTGTCACAGATGTAGGCGGTTCTAACCTCAACACCGCCAACCTTCTTCGGGTCTACAGAGATACCTGCTCCTGAAATCACATGCCCCAAGAAGGACACTTGCTCCAGCCAAAACTCACACTTGTTCAATTTTCCATAAAGCTTCTCCTTCCGTAGGATTTCCAACACCGTCCTTAGATGCTCTGCATGATCTTCCTTGGTCTTGGAGTACACAAGAATGTCATCGATGAACACCACAACAAACTGGTCAAGATACTGGGAAAACACCTTGTTCATCAAGCTCATAAATGTAGATGGAGCATTTGTCACTCCGAATGGCATCACCAAAAACTCATAATGCCCGTACCGTGTGCGGAATGCAGTCTTGGGTATGTCTTCTTTCCTCACCTTCAACTGATGATAACCCGACTTGAGGTCCAGCTTAGAAAACACCCGAGCATCTCCGAGCTGATCAAAAAGGTCATCAATCCTGGGAATTGGGTATTTATTTTTGATAGTAACCCGATTCAATTCTCTGTAGTCAATACACATTCTTCGGCTACCATCCGGCTTTGGCACTAACACCACTGGTGCTTCCCAAGGTGAAGTACTAAGCCTGATAAATTTCTTATCAAGATACTCCTGGTCCTGCTTTCGCAACTCTTCTAAATCTGCTATTGGCATCCGGTAAGGTGGTTTTGAAATAGGTGCAACCCCTGGAATAATATCAATGACGAACTCTATCTCTCGATCTGGTGGCAAACCCGACAATTCATCAGGGAAAACATCAAGGAACTCCTTGACAATTTCTGGTATAGGCTTTTCCTCCACCTCTATATAGGTTAATAATCCATCCATGCCTGCTCGATACTCTGGCTGTTCCATCACCTTGCTTCCACTCATGAATTCAAACTCCGGGTGGCCTGGTATCTTGAACACCACGCTTCTGCGTCGGCAGTCGATCGTCGCATGAAGGTTGTAGAGCCAATCCATCCCCAAAATAACATCGAACCCGCTAGTGTCAATCACCAACAAGTCTGCAAATAGCTCCCTACCACAAACTACCACTGGGCATCTCTTACACTCCCTACTAGACATTAACACCCCACTGCCTGTATGTATATTCCAGCTAGCCTCTAAACTATCACATGGGATAGTGTGTCGTACAACGAACTGAGTAGATATAAAACAGTGCGATTCCCCAGAATCAAATAGGGTAAATGCAGGGACTGAATAAACCAAAATGATACTTGTGACTACATCTCCAAACGCATCTGCCTGCTTAGTGGTAAGTGTCATAACATGACCTTGTCTCTGCTGCTGCTGAGCTTGCTAACCGTATGGCCCTGGGTGCCTCTGCTGATACGGTGGCTGATATGGGTGCTGGAACTGAGGACCCCTCCACTGTCTCTGACCTTGAAATTGTTGACCCCTCTGATGTCCTCGAAACATCTGCTGCTGCGTAGGAAGTGGTGGCCTCAACTATTGTCCACCCTGTCTAGTCTAGCCTGCTGGTACTATCGCTCTACCTGGAAATCCTCCTGTGGCTCCTCTACTAGGACAAGTGGTGATCTGATGATCCGCCACCCCACATGCTAAGCACAACACATTAGCTCGCCTGCAGTCCTTCATCAAGTGCCCTGGCTTGCTACAGAAATGGCAGATCATGTTGGTTGGTTGTGGAGCTGGTCTCGAAGTCCCTGTCTGCTGGCGCTTGGCTGGTGCTCCTCCCATCTGAGGCTTCTGCTGGTTACCTCCCGAGTTTTGTCCTGCGGGGCGCTTGTTTGCCCCTCTCTTCACCGAGTTCATGATCCCAATCAACTGTTCTGCTTTCCGAGCTGCCTCTAGGACATCCGCATAAGTCTCAACCCCCTTCTGACTGTAAATCTGAGTCTGGATCTCAAAGTTCAGACCCTGCATGAACCTCTGTCCCTTATCCACCTCATTCGATACCATTCCCAGGGCAAACCCGCTGAGCTTGGCAAATTCTGCTACATACTCATCCACTGTACTAGCTCTCTGCCTCAACATAACAAACTGCCTCTGCATCTCCAGACGAGCTGTCTTCGGAAAAAATGCCTCTAGGAAACTCTCCCGAAATGTCTCCCATGAAATCGGCTTAGGCAGCTTCTCCTCCTCGGCGTCCCACCAGGTTCTGGCTACATTAATGAGCTGCAGCTGAACAATATCAACTCGGTCTTCATCTGGTATCTCCCACCAGGTTCTGGCTACATTAATGAGCTGCAGCTGAACAATATCAACTCGGTCTTCATCTGGTATCTTTGCTGCTCTCAATAAGCGGTCCATGGTCTGCAACCACATCTCGGCCTCATATCCGCCTTCAGTCCCAGCAAAGTGTTGCGGGTTGAGCTTCCGAAAATCAGACACATTGCCCGGCCTTGCAACTTGCTGCTGCTCGTCCCTCTGATGATTATGAGCTACCAGGTCCCAAATCGCTTCTGCAAGATCAGCCTGGTCAACTTGGTGTCCCTCAGGGACAACTAGAGCAGGGGTTCGACGTTTTGGGGCCATAGTGATCACCTGAAAATGAGATTGGTCGAGATTAGGACTTGAGAATCAGAGAAATGGAAGTCAAAGGATGTATTTCTGGAAAGGAAATGACTCATTCTATACATGCTCTATTTTTAGCTCAATCTTAGTTTCTACTTGTATACAGGATGAGACAACAATTCCTAAACCTGGCTCTGATACCACTAAAAAACCTTGTCACGCCCCAGTTCCAAAAATGTAATAGTTTGGAATGTGACTCAGCCGGCAATGTAACCCTACGGTCACATTCACGCCTTTAGATCATCCTGTATATCAATATAAAACCAAAACTACACCATAGAGCATGTAATCAAGATAAAAGAAAACTGCTAGATAGAGAAATATCTAAAAAAATTCAGAGATCTGTGACGAGTCCACAACTATCCAAAATGGAAGAAAGAAAAACTTCATAGTCTGAAGTTCTACAAGAGGTTACATGGAAGTCTCAATCAAAATAACTACCTAAAACAAGTGAAATGGAGAACTGAATGAAATGAAAGGTGATCACTGTCGTTGAGCCTGCTCCTCGAAATACTCAGAATCCTACGAGGAAAGAACAGTTCCTGAATCTGGGGCATGCAAACCCCAGGGGAGTCAGAAAACTCCCAACAAGCATGTAAAATGAAGGAAATGTGTGCGTGTAAGTGTAATGTGGCATAGATAAAGAAAACCAAGCTAATAATCATTATCAAACAAGGTCAATCGTAAGGCACACAAGCACAATATTATTATTTTAGATGTTATTTGAATTAGAGAAAAATATTTCATGTATATAAGTCGGTTTCCCGTAAACCGTCCCGGGAACACGGCTTCAAGTCAGGATGGGCCCTTATTATATATACCAGGATATCAAGATGCGCACAAGCCCGCTTATATACATGTTATATTCTCCGTCCAATTCCCCTTTATTAAACCCCATGTTAGTCTGTTTAATCTAAGTAACTGTGCATGAAATGTTATGCACTAATCACAGAGTTACCGTGGAACGGCTTCCGTAAAACTATGAACGATAGCCGTGACCCAGAACATGTCCAATCAAGAGGGATGCATCATCTAGTTGATGCTATAATAATAGTAATAGCCAAGGAAAAAAATCTCATATCGGGATATCGATATCGAGAACATAGCCATGCTATGAAAACACGCTTATAAATCATATAGCTTAGTTGAAAACTGAGATCAAAGAGAGTATTTATATCCTCCAAAACCTCAGCTAAAAATCCCAAGGAAAAGACAAAAACAGCCCCAGCAAACAGCTCAGAGAAATAGCCATTGAAGTCCAACGGATCTATTGTCGGTTGACCGGAAATTCTGTCGGTCGACCGACAGAGAACAAAAACACGAAGGACTGTTCTGGACAATCGTCGGTCGACCGGTATGGTCGACCGATGGAGCTTTCGGTCAACCGCACCGCTCGACCGACCCAACCACACAACATATTTCAATGTATAGCAAATCCAGAGTATGATCCAACATAGTTTAGTAGAATAATAAATTTTCAAAGGGATAAGCAAACCAATTGTAAACACGCACTGAGAATTTCAACAAGATAGGACGAACTGAAAACATTTGTAGTCAATCAATCTGATTCTTAGTGAACCCAAAATTTATAGTGTAAAAGGAAAAATGGTCATAGGTTTCAACCGTAATTACTATAGTAAAGCACAACCTATCTAACCATGAGCTCAACGGCTTCTTCATTTAGATATAATGTTACAAAAACATATAAACACTTATATACTATTTGTTAAGATAACTTCAAAAATATATACTCTTAAGATATGGGGTGGCCCGTCAAAAGGTTCAAAACACTATCCAATCTGTTGTGTAAACATTATGGCCAAAAAAATACATTAAATAATGATTAAGTTCTTTTCTTTGAAAAGGAATAATGTTATTATTGAAATTATATTATATATATAATACCCTTTAGTCTAATAAAAACACCTTTCATATTTTGTTGAAACATTGTAGTAGAAATTTTAACATACTGTTTATATAAAAACCCACTTGACTAAAAACAAAGTCACGGTTGATATGCCCAATCTGGAGAAAAATAAATCACAGGAAATTAACCATTAAATACTAGTTACCTAATGTCATATATAAGGAGTAAATTATACATCAGGTGTAAATTTTGTAGACACTACTAGAAAAATAAGTCAACACATAGAAGAAACTGTGTATGAACCATACTCAGGTCAGTTTACTCTACAGGTCCTAGGCATGAAAAATTCAAACAGTAAAATCAAAAACACATATTGGAAGGGGGCTTATAGTACTATACTTGAATAATATAATTATAAGTTCTAGTGTATGATAAACACAGCAAGGGAAAATATAAAAAATTTATACCTATGAAGGAAATTACAATAATGATTCTAGCATAAACCCTAGATATAAAACATCAATCTAAAAAGAAATTTAAGCAAGGAAAAAGGAGAGGAACAAAAATGCCGGTATGAATATAAACTAAAAAAAATAGAAATTTAATTGAGGAAAAAAAAGATGCTTGCCAATTGTCGAAGAAAAGACTATGAACCCCAAAAGAAAAATCAAATTCCGTTCCTCTCCTCTTCTTGTTCCCTGGTGCGTTTTCCTTCCTCTTTTTCTCTGTTTTCTTTTTTCTCTGCAGCTTTTGGAACCGAGATGGGGAGAAGAGGGGTTTGGGTTTTAAAGGAAAGGGTTGATTGGATAAAAAAGAAAGTCGTTGTAACAAAAAAATTCAGAGGATTCCGGTTTGAGATTGGAAGTTAGCCAGCCACGGAGGTTTTGTTGAAGATATCTTTTTTTTTGGAAAATTTTTTTCCAAGGTCTACAACGAAAATCGCAACAAACTCCATTGCTGGAGTTTTTTTGTTTTTTTGGTTTCACTTAACACAAATGGGCTTGCTAAAGTTGGGCCTTAAGGAATTTTTTTTTCTTCAATTTCAAACATAGTGTGGGCCTATGCATAAGGCTTGAAAAAGAAAAAAAAAATGATTGTGGGCCTCCTTTCCTAAAAAAAATATTGATTATTACAAATACAATGAGTCAAATAAACAAAGTCTCACAAAATCTCTCAACTCTAAACTAAAATACCAATCTAGAGTCTGAAAATAATGAACTATATGTGGAGTTCTGCAATAACTACAAAGTATAATACGTAGCTAAATGGACAACTAAGAAGTCCCATCAACTTGCAACTCTCCATGCGCCAGACTCGCTACCTGAAAGAGGGGAAACAACGAGTGCCAAAGCACTAGAGAGATCATCACTACCTCTCCCCAGGGGAAAGGGTAGGAGTATATAAGAAAAATAGAGTCACTACTTACATATATCAAATCATTCATATAGCTCTCTATGAATGAAAAACAAATAGTCAACGAAACATACTCAAATCTCCAACATAAAGAATAAATACATTATCTCGAATTACATTCGAGTAGCCTGCTTTAATATAAGAGGATGTCAACCAAACCAAAACGAATATAACTGGCATCCATAACGGGTGTGCCAAAATCTCAAAGGAAATACTCTACTCGTGGGTAATCTATCATGGAAGTAAAACTTACAACTGATTAAATATCTATGTGTGCATCATCTTGTGCTATAGCGATACTCTTGTAATGCTCTTACTCAATCGCTCTATGGCAATAGGATTTATTATCTCCCTATTCGGGATACATGTAATAACGATACTATTATAATACTCTTACTCAATCGTTTTGCGGCAAATTGGTTTCATCTCCCTATTTCCGGATACCTGAAAGATCAAATATTAGCCATGTGTATTTATCAAATTTAACTTATGGTAAAAGTGTGTTAATTCAACACAAACTAAGCATAAGTGCATATATCTCGGTGTGCATGTCCACATCTGAAGTTCACCATCATCCCAGGTGTTTAACAAGTCTTAACATTGTAGTTAATCATCACAAGGTCGAGAGAAGAGCTCGACAAACCGAAATCAAACCAAAACAATGCATAGGCTAACATCAGACTGGCGGTCGACCATGACAGGCTCCAGAGGCTACCCAAGTCTCTGTCCTGCACGCGGTCGACCGTGAGCCAGATTTCTACTTTTCTCTAGATTGTCATGTGTCATGTTAACGTCATGTTTTTATGATTCAAACATGGAAAAAACTTTATGAATCTTGCATACTAACATGTTACAGCAGATATAAATATCTGGAATCAAAATCAACATATATAAGCATGATTTTATGCATTAGATTTATGTTCAAAACCCTTAAACATGCATAAAATCTCAAAACGATGAATCAAACTTCTTTCTTTAGATTAACCATGTTTTAAAATCATCTTCAGATCTTAATTACATTTGTAAAATTCGTTCTCAACCTTTTTAGCATGAAAAGACCTAATCTTTATACATATAATACAAAAGAGTTGTCTTTTATTCATAATCTAGTCGTTTAGGCTCTACAAAACATGTTTAAATCTCTTTAAAAATGTTTTGAAAACTAGGAGGGGGATTAGCAGAGATGATACTCGCCTGAGATTGTCAAAAAATGTTTTAGAAGCAAGGTTGAAAGAGATCTCCACTCCAAAAGCCAAAAACCAAGAAAATTCCCGCTCGAAAGCCTCCAATCTTCTCTAAGAAATCAAACAAGGGTTTGGCGGGTTTGGTGGCTGTTAGGGTTCTTAGAAAAACTGAGAAAAATGTAAAAAACTCATATATATATATATATATATAACGAATATGGATTTAGAAATCCGAAACCAACTCAAAACAAGAGAAAAATTCTCTGCAGGTTTCGCGGTCGACCGTGGCGGTCGACCGGACTGGGTATTTCTAGTTTTTCATGAGTTTAGTCATTGTGCATGTTTCGACTCTTTTCTCTCTCATGTATGAACTCGTTCATACTCAAAACACATGGTATTATACTCATATACCATTAAATGATATTTATCATACTAAATATCAATATATCATATTCTAATTAATCTCAAATAATCATATCATTCAAAAAAAATTATCA